GACAAATTTTGGCTTTTTCTCGCTATTGTAAAGAATAGGCTGCTGCCTCGCTAGGGCTTGCCAGCAACAAGCATCTGATTACGAAAGATTACGAACCTGTTCTCGCTTCCGACAGCCGGTGCAGTACTCTACGAACTAAGTTTCAAGCCAACTGGGGCTGGTCACGTTGTGAGTTCGTAATATACCCGTAGATGGGTAAGAAACAAGTGAACAGATGAAAGATCAGATATTTGAACTGCGGAACTGTACCCCTCTCAAGCAGAAAGCCCGTGACGATGAAATATGATAAAGAATAAACCAATAAATGAAATAGTTGTTATTGAGCTTCGTGCGTTTTCCTGATAATGCATACAGCGCCTCCAAAGCAGTTACAAGCTATTGAAAAAAGACTGAAGCCAGAGATAAGGATGTTTCGACCTTTTTGTTGTAACTATATCATAACTGACTATCGTTTATATATGTATAAAAAAATAACTGCAAAGCATGATTAACGAAATTTCGAACAATCGAGCTCATATTAACGAGAATACGAGCATGCGAGCAGTTGCAAAAATTTTGCGAGCACGAGCGAGGAGCAACCATCTAATTCTTGCGAGCAATTAGAGCAAAGGCCAAATTTTGCGAGCACTTGAATGCGACCAGTCGATACCCCTGTTGTGACACATCCCAGTGAATAATTGTAGAAGGCATCAGTTGTCAGAAGGAGTTGTCAAGCATCAGTCATGTTTTTTCTAAAGGTCAAAAACGATGAAGACGGCAAGTGACAACCCTAAAGGCTATGGTGACTTAGCTTAGGAGAGACGTAACTTGTTACCTTGAAGAACACGCGAACAAACAGATGAATGATATAAAAGAAAAAAACGAAAACAAACAAAACAAAACAAAACAAAAACGCCGCGAAATTAAAGAGTGGCTAATGACTGAACGCCCATACGAAATAAAAATTGATGAAGACGCGGTGGAAACAAATCTTGACTAAGTTTATTCAATTGAACGATCATGTACATCAGATAAATAGTCTTACTATCCAACTCAACTTCGTAGAGTATAAATAACGCCATAGACGAGTAGAAATAT